CAAAAGTAATTTTAGTATACTTGCATTAGTTGGCAAACAAATTCAAGGTTGACTAAATTTATGACAATTCCACTTTTTACTGTTTGACGTAGCGCAAAACATCCACAATAAACATTGGACTGGCTGTGTACAGTCAACATGATGTTTAAATGAATTTGAAGCCCTCGCTAGTCAAATGTGATTATCCACGGAACAGAATCATTTAAGGAGCTTAAACCTCATGTGCCCTGTCCCAACAAACAGGAAAAAAAACCTGAGTCCGACCAGCCACTTTTGAGTCAACGTACTTTGCTAATTCTCTCTACCGAAGGCCCCGGGGTCCGCATTTTGCCCGGCACGTACTATCAATGACTGCCTCTCGCCGAGTGCCTTAAAAAGATTACTAAATAATTGCTGCTTTGCGGAGATACTGACAACTCGCTGGAGTGTAAATGGCGCAGGCCGGGAAACCAACGTTCGGGGACGCATCCCCTCAAGAAAGTAAGACAAAACTGAGAAGAGTCAAGTATCTGTACGTTCACAATTTGTTATTGAAATGTCAACCATTTGATTATATCTTTATGCTACAAAAGACAGATTTGTGGTCCGATTCTGAAGGAAAAAAACGTACCAATATTTGTGCAAATACACTGAACATATGTGTATCATTTTTGCAATATGAAATTTTCTCCGAAAATAAAATTATCTCAGCTACTGAAATGCCATTTGATAAATGTTACATTTTATTTTATCAAAATAATACATTTGATAAAATATGTTACATTTTATTTTATCAAAATAATACATCTGAAAAAATATTTATTGTAAATGTTAAATGTATTCTTTTGAGATTGAAAAAGATTTTTTTAAAACAAAATGAACATTTATGTACAAGTGCGAAAAATAATATCATTTATTAAAAACAGTAACAAAAAAATGTGTGTTGCGAAATTGTGATTCATTCTCGTCAATTTAAAAAAGATATCAGTTTTGAAGCTGTAATTTCTAAATAACAAGACAGTAGCATTTGCAATTAATTCAAGCTAAACTGAAATGGACATTTACTGGCCAAAAAAAATCCACTTTACCTTGAAAACGCAAATTCTTAAATTAATCAGGATCAATCAACTAAACAAACACACAAACAAAAACACAACCACAAAAAAATCTCTTTACATTTAGATGTCGATACTCTTGAATCTTTCCAGCGTCAGGGAAAAGGAAAAAAAAAATCCATTAGCTTTAGAGTGGTTTGCAAATTTGAACCAGTTAGCAGAAGAGAGGATGGAGGGAGGAAAAAAAAAATGACAAAGCGGAATAAAAATTGTCTCAAACATGAGTGCATGGAGTGATTGCCTGTCGACTCATTTGCATTGCTTTCTGCCCTCAAGGTTGTCGTGTTAATTTAGAGGAAAGACTCGTTTTGCTTCCATCACAATGGTCTTCAACAATTGGCCATCACGGTCCCTGTCGTCATTCCTTGCTCGCATGAAGTGGGGGGGGGGAGCAATGGAGAATGGAAAAAAACTGTGAAATGAAAGGAAGGTAAAGGCCTTTGTTAGATCACATGCTATGCGGAGATTCGCGACATGCGTGTATTGTACGCGGAAAGAAAAGGCCATCGCGGCACAGACTGAAATTAGTCATTACATGTTGTCGCTGGCACGTTAATTTGATTTTGCCAAATTAAGTTTTGATAAGGTAGTATTTGTCATAACGCGGAGCTGGGGGCCTCGCCTTGTAATGAATATTTTAATTAAACTGAATAAATTTCCATCTGGATAATTTCCTGTTCTGGTCTTTTCTCTTTTTTCCCTTAATCAGGAATAATCGGTTTTGAGAGCCCTTGTCCATCCCATTCTCAGGAATTTCATTTGCTGCAAGCAATAAATAATTACTTATTTCATAATTTATTCAATTCTTTTTTAAAAAGTGAAACGAAAAACAGTGTTTTCAAACATTAAAAAGTACATGTACATGTAACAAAATAAAATTTTAAGAAGGAAAATTCAACAAAGCATAATCAAAGAACAAAGAGCTCATCTATATTAAAGAAACGACGTAAAATACAGAAGTAAAAAAAATACTTTTGTCTGCCAGTGCTAAAAATACCCAAACAGAAGTTTGCTGAAAAGTTTCTTAAAACATTTGACCAATCAATTTGAAACGGCTAAAAGAGATCAGACTAGAGTTATCTAGTGAAATCTCCTCTTGCAAATGGGGGGAGGGGGGAAAAAGATATTTGTTTCGGAAAAGCGGAGCTGTTCTGTCATTTAATGTAAAACCATGGCCCAGGAAGATCTCGGGCTAACCTCCATTAGTTTGATTGGAAAAAAGCAATCATTTCAGGGTACTTAAATAAATGTGAAGTGATCATTTTGAAAGCTGCGCTCATCTTCTTCTGTGTGCCCCGAATAACCTCAATAATCCGGGAATTTCAGGGAACGTTTTTTGGGGGATTGCACTTAAAACAAACGTGAACATGGTGAAGAGAGACAGATTTTTTTCCCCTCGCTTTTATGATGGAAGACAAGTTACTTGCAAACAGAAATTACCCAAAAAAAACCAGCAGTTTCAAAAAAAAAGAAATCACTTGGAAAGATTCAAATTTGAAACCAATGTATCTGTCAAAGTTAACACTTTTATAAATATTCAAAATTTCAACTGCTTTAAAACAGGATTGATTTGACTTCTGAATTTGACAAAGTTACAAAATTACAGTCAAATAAACTGTTTGGATTTTTGTACTGTTTTTTTTTTTTTTTGCAGGACAAGTAATTCACTGTACATGCTACATACCTTCTTGGGAATAAAAAAATAACAGACTTTTCTGAATTTAATTTGTATTTTCAAATGAAAGCAAAAGTGAACGCAGCAGACAGAGAAAAGATTAGTGCTGAGGATTACGCACAGTTGTCGTTTCATAACTAAACAGAATCAGGATTTCACTTGCGCGCAAAAAGCCCCAGTTTGCAGCGGCGCGTGTGTATTTACAAGATACGGTAGCTGCGCAGAGGCTGGGCATTATACATATGCTCGGGGATCGATGCGAAGATGTCACTAAGTAAATACGAGAGGGATTGTGATTCCTGTTTATTCTGGAGCTGATTCTGTGCCAAATGCACCACTCAATAATCGTCAAGAGGAAGATGACGGGGCTATCGCATTCCGCTCCACCAAAAAACACAAAACTCGCAGAGTGGCTGTTTCTTTCATTTTAGGTTTTATTGGTTTTTTTTTTTTTTTTTTTTACTCAGCTTTCTACAAAAATATATCTGAGAACGCTCCGGGGGGAAGCAGGATGCAACAAAATAATCCAGCGATCAATTAGGGTGTATGATCAATCTGGAAAAACACGCGAAATCAGGGATCTGTCAAGTGGTGCTTGGACAGCACCGGAGGGGAAGAAAAAGAGAGGGGGGGGGGGGAGATGGGGGACAAGAAAGAAAAAGATGCAAGCATTAGAAAACAAGAGTGTCGTCCCTGAAGGGAATCTGAGTCGCCGCGAAGCTCTTCGGGCATTACTCTGAGGATGATTTCAAAGCTTTCACGCAAAGATCAAGTGATGGGTAACCCACTTATCATACAGCAGCGTGAAGGGCTTTTTAGCTCCTTGCGTACGTACGTACGACCGAATGGACGAACGAACGCAACGACAAGGACCACCAGGAAAATTCCAAAAACACAAGAAAGATCTTGCCAAATGCCAAAGACACTTTGCTGTTGGACGCACTTCACGGTCCTTGCTGTATGGAAATACAGCCACCGTCGCCTGTGTTCACCCTTGTATCACCCTGTCTGTCCCCCTATCTGACTTTATGTCCCCGCGCCGTTAGTTGTAATTGACACCCAAGTAGTCCACAATGCATAATGCAGTGATTGCAAGTTGCCATCATTATGAAAACAAGCGTCGCAATCACTGGGCCCATTTCGCCTCCTCTGGAAGTCAAGAACGGGACTTCGTTTTCCCAAATTTCGTCCGTAAATACACTCTGGAGCAGCTCAAGAGTTTAAAGAACAAGATGGCAAGAGGAACAACTTGGCCCTTCACATTTACCTCGGCAAGCACCACAGCAAGAGAATGAATTCATTTCAAGAACTAACCAAGTTAAATGTGATCCAGCAGTCTATTTAAAAATCCACTTCCCATTTGAGAAAACAACTGGGAAACGTAACTTTATCTACGTGTACATGTAGATCTATACAATGGTCTTTAAACAGAAACACGTTTCATTCAGAAAACGATCACAAACTTGGCACAGCTACTTTTAGCCTGAAAAAAAATTACACCAAAAAAATATCTGCCTTTTCTAATTAAAACTGGTATACCACAGACTTATACAGTCATACACAAGTCCATGACTACACCAGGGGAAAAATCCATATTCATAGCCATGAATTATCAAGCGAACAAGGAGAACAAATTACAGATAAGGTTGTTGCCGAATTTACAATGGCTGATTAATTAGGCGTCCAATCCACCGATCCACCGATCCGTGGAAATTAGATCCCTACGCAAATAATTGATGACTGGCAAACGATTCTCTCCGCTGTCATTATCTACTCTGCTTTTCATCCATTATCAGTTCCATTTCTGCATGTCTCCGATAAAATGAATAATTTGTTTGTTGATACACGTACAAATTGATTTTCATGTCTGAATAGTAAAATTTGGTTTCAATTTTAATTAAACATTATTTTCCACATTGTTGGAACAAAAAAGGGCGGACGAAAATTATCTTCTTCAGGGAAAAACAATCATTTGATGTACCGCTGAATTTGTCACATGTGTAACAATTTGACTTTACAGAAAACAAATGAAAATTGAAAAAAGGAAATCAGAACAAATTCTTAGAATTGTATGACACATGGTTGTCATAATTACTTGTAAATTGCTACACGATTGTCAATTACTCATCGATTACTCATTACAAGACTCGAGTCCAAGTCACCAAGACATGCACCGCACATAAAAACAAACAATGGCGATTGCCAATTCCAATTGTCAACGAATCTCTTACCCTCCAATATCCCGTGGGCATTCTAGCGTGGTTTCCGATAGAGGAGCTACCACCGCGTAGGATCCAAGCATTAGACTCCTCCGTTTGGCACTTCATCCCCGACTCCGGAACAAAACCAAAAAACGGGCCACTGGTAAAAAATATTCGGCCCTTCAAAACTGGCACACCGGTCTCGACACAAACGTCCCGATGAGTCCTTGTTAATATGAAACTCCTACCTTGGTTGTCGTCAGTTGTAGAGTTTTGCAAATCTGGGATGCGGATTGACGAGTTGAAAGATTTTAGAGTGGTTCTCTGGTGGCATGCGTACGTACATGTGCCTGAGCCCCCGTGATACAGCCACAGGTTGGATATATATACGACACAATCGGGAGCTTGCCGTGTACATTAAAACCTCTTGCCACAACACCATGTGTATAACAATCAATCAGGGACTAGTAGGAGGAGAAAAGGAGACGGAGAGATACAACGACGATGCGGGACGGAGATGCTACACTGGCGCTGACCTTGGTGCGTAGCCAATGGCATCGCAGCCTACAAATTGTATGCCTCATCCCGTTGCCCGTCTCAGTTGAGTCATCATTTACACACACTTAGTCCATAACACACGTGCATATGGACATATGTAGGGCCACCTCAACCACAAATTCTGTTTACGGTGCCTCAGAGATCCCAATTTTCTCAAGAAAATTTCTTTATTGATTTTTTAATAAAATATTTTAATAAAATAAACGTAGAGGAACATCCCCCCTCCAAAAAAAGTCTATAAACAGGACAGCCACTTGAATTCTATGATTTGTTTTAAAGGGTTTTCAGAAAGGGGGAGAAAAAAATGTGCTTCGACGTTGAAGGAACTCTAAATTTTTCAAATACTTGGTTAAGATCAAGTTCACATTCTGTAAAAATATTCTGTGATTCTTTATGGGTTGTACAAATTCAATCAGACACAATAGATCAAGTAATTTATAAAATGAAAAAAAGGAGGGGAAAAATGTAGCAAATGTAGCATTTCTCAGCCCAATTTGTCAGATATGTTCAAAAGGAATTTTTCAGCTGTAGGTACAAGTTCAAGTTCTTCAATGGTTGTAAAAAGAAATAGTGAAATATAACAGATTGAGTAATTAAAACGAAAAAATGGCTCCACAGTCTTGCCAATTTTTAGCACATTAAACATGATTTTGACTGCTGCTGGCCTGACTGCCACTTCTTGGGCAGTCTTTCTCTTCACGGTTTAATGGACCCATTGTTGGCACAGGAACGTCAATTTGTGACGCAGAAATTAATCTTGCTCATATTTCATTGAATTGTCCGGGGCCTTTTTCTTTTTGGCAGAATCGGGCTGACGCCGGAGCTAAATTATGTTTAAATAAGGGCAAGTGGTCGGAGATAGTCAGATTTCGGGAAATGTTGACGTACACGGATCCCAACAATGACGGCGTGTTTCTGCCGCGCTTGAACAGCAAGTGCATTGTACCACGCATTTACAAGTATAAAATTCAATCACAAAGGAAAATGTGTGGCAACGCAATAATACAAACCTTTTTTGACATTTTGGTTTACAATAACACCCGAATAAGGATATATTTAATTTATTAAGTTCCTATGAAAAGAATTTATCGTGCTTTGATGAACCTCACAGATCCTGCAATGCAGATTGACAAAAAACATCCACAATATGGGACCAAATTTGTTTCAGTGTGTATAATCCCCAAGGTAATAAAAAAATATTTTTAAAAGCAGATGGTTTGTAGCATATTGTATATATTATGCAAATTCTGTATAGAAAGAATACAATGGTATCTTATCCTGATGACAAGCTCAGGGAAAAGTTTCTGCCGAATGCAACATAACAATTAAACAAAAAAAATGTTTTTGAATGATTCAAAACAGAACAGTCGTTCAAAAATTTAAATAGAAGACTCTACCATACAGGAAACAATCTTTTTCGACCAAAACAAGTATTTTTACAAGTTTTCTTCTTTATTTCAATCCGCAAATGAATTCACTTTAAATTCTTTTTAAAAATTCTACCATTTATGTAAATACATAACAATATTTTCCAAAGGCATTTTTTCAAATGAAATAAAAACTAGTAAATGTTAAAGTCACTTCAATGAAATTTGCAGCAAAAAAATTGCTCTTCTTGGAATCAGAGTGGTTTCCCTATCATGGGAATTTATTAGATCCCATGATATTGATAAATTTTACGGAATCAACTACCGGGTAGTAACAAGTTGATTAAAACTATAGAGTTTCGACGGGGAAGAATCACTGGAGAGCCCGCGGGCTGTAAAACGAGCACGGAGCATTTAGCCAACGCGAGAAGAACGCAACGCAAAAACCCCTTGTGGGGATTCTTTCGTGCGACAATATCAAATCTCCGTACGTATTGGTGATACGGCAATCGCAAACATTCAGCGGGATTTTTCAGCTGAGGGCAAGGCGTGGGGATGTATTGGCGCGAACAACCCATCCCAGTGGACGTGAACGGTGCGAGCCATATCGGACAATCGATGTTCCTTGAAACTGTGCGTCTACCGAGGAAACATCGGCAAGAAACATCTCTCTATATCAACATAGGATTGGTCTTGCAGACTATCCTAAATCCCAATCACTTTGGAAACATACTGTTTTCCGGTTGGTCTGCGATTAAGCGGAAAAATCAATTTACATGTTTTTTCTTGTTTTCTTACAAATGCAATCTGTGAGTACATGCATGTGCGGTGCATGCCTCAATGGTTTTTCAAATTTTAATATTCTCAATTTCATGCTGTCTTTGTTACTTTCTGCATCAATGCTCAAAATTGAAGTTGCACAGCCCCCCCCCCCCCCCCCGACTTGTAGATTAAAATCATGAGTACAAAGTGAAGCATGAAATGGTAATTGTTGGAGAAATAGTGGAATGTTTCTGCTAAGTATCTCTTAAGAAGTTTTCTTGAAAATCTGAAGATTATTGAGTCAAATTACCAAAAGAAGTTAGTGGTTTGTTTTGTTTTTTTTAATTCCAGAAATGACAAGGACTTTATTTTCTTTATTAAAAATCCATTCAAACAAAAACTGTGATAAGCCTTGAGACAGCTTCATTTGTATTCACAGGAAGTGATTTCTAGGGGAAAAATCCCCGTCAGCCAAAAAAAAAAAAAACAGAGAAAGGACTTACATTTACCCATCCCACAATTAATTCTTTTGGAGTCAAAATCAATGACAAAGGAAAAGTGAGTAGGTGCATAATAAAATAATTTATACAGTTGACAAAAAAAAATTCACTGGAGCGACTTTGAATCCGCTCTGGATAATGACAACAAAATTCTCTAGCCTCGAGTTTATACCTCTGGTCCTTTTCAGAACCATTCTCTTAGTTGAGAAATTATTCGCACATGGTGTTTCCGCAAACCTTTCATTATTTAGTATCTCCACCATGCAAAGCCTCAAATCTTACCTAGCCTACAGTGTTCTTATAGCATTTGGTCTATAATTCCATTTTCATTTCACGCTCAGAGGAAGAAAGAAAAAAACAGATTCCAGCAAAACATGTCTCTATTACCTGAACGGACGTTGCATGGCAGTCGGCAAATTAAATTGCCGATTGTAATTGTTACGAAAGCTTTCAATGGGAGATAGGTTCAAGGATTGCAGTAAATTACGCATCGGCCTTGAGGGGGAATAGAAATAATGAGAAATGACTGGTTAGATAAACACAATCCAAAAAAAAAACAAGAGAAAAGAAAAAGAATGCTACTGATTGAAAAAATCTCCACAGCGAAATAAATTTGATTGTCATGAAACAAATGGCTTTAATTTGAAACGGCACATTAATTCCGGATCTTGACGTCTCTTGTTTACAGGGGTTTCAAGAGTGATTTAAATGTAAATTTGAAGATTAAAGGCACCCCGTGTCTAAACATAATCTAGAATTGAACAATTGAAAGAACTGATTAATTTATTAGGATGGGCAAAATGGTGTTTCTTATTAATGATAAGATGTGAAGTCTTTATTGAGGAGGAATTCAAATTTGAGGTTTTTTCTTTCTTCATGCTTGAACGGGAAGGCCTTTCAATTTCTATGATTTCAAATCTGAGTAAGGGACTCATTAACCAAAATGTACAAAAATATATAGTAAAATTTGCATATTCTAGATCAAAATATTCAAAGTAATATTTTAATCCAGTCAAATGTATCTCTACAGTTGCAAGTTGCACCAATTTCAATCTGCAAACTATGAAACAAAAAAAACCGGCGATCTACAATGTAAATCGCATACATGTACATGTAATGAGGGTGGGTCTACTTAGCGATTCCACTGAGGCTGAATCGAGGTGCCGTTTGAAAGAATCAATTAATATAAACCAAAAATCCTTTGTTCTAAATGTGTGCACATTTTCATGCCAAAGACAACAGCCAGAGTCAAACCACATGGTTGGTGGCAGGTTCTTTATATAGAATTGAATTACAACCTCGGTTTCTCCATCATCAAACGAACAAAGATCAGCCCGAAATACATCTTGATTCCTATTAGTCACCTGTATTAACATACCGTAAATTAAATCTAGGAGGGAATTTATTATCTGCCGGGGATTAAGTGACAAAGCCGGTCAGCCACGCGTGAAACTGGCGCAATATACCCATTCTTGCAGCCCTACTCTGACACCAACTTCTTTGTTATTCTCGATTTTAAGGGCGGACATCCAATTTCGCACTTTTTTTTTTTCACCATTAGGCCTACAACCTGTTCTCCGTTTGAAGCTTTCGTATAACATGTTGAATTTTACATGATTGGCTAGTTATTACGGCTAATGTATTTCTATACCAATCATTCAGAATAGATGTCTTACTTTTTCTATTTTTTTTATACAAGCTAAGTGCACATGGGCATGTTTCACTCATAAATACATATTATTTATATCTTTTCCTACCCCCCACGTTGGCTACAACAGTAAAGGCAGACACATTTACTCTGCAATCAAGCAGTTTAAATGTTTTCAAATTTAATTCTCATCCCTAATCAAAAATATTTTAAAAATCCATAGTATCCTCACGTATAGGCCTATATACATGAACTTTATTAAGCTTTACTCTTGCTATGCTGCATCCCCCCCCCCCCCCAAGGAAATAAAATACAATTTGCAACATAATTAAAACAAAAATTATAGCAGAAACATTTCTGCAAAATCATACACAAAACTGGGCTTTAACAATTTTGGTTGGTGCAACAACCTACGTAACTCTTTTAGTCAAATCACGCTGTCGTTGAGTCAATATGTTCAATATTCTATCTCCATGACAACCCAAATGGAACCGCATGTAGTCTGGTTTCCCCCATTGTGATTACATGTAACTACATGTAGATGCATAAACTATGGACAATTGAGGCCGATCCCAAACTAATTAACTTGTCAAACGACGTTTCAGACATAAGAGCACACACAAACATCGATATTAGTTAATAATAATGCCTCAGGCCAGGAAGTGGACTTTGAAAATGTACATTATATTTCTCTCTTACTTTATTCGTTCTGTGTGTGC